ACAAATCAATGGATTCAAATACCTGATTTCTGGATTCTTCCATTGCTAGATCAGGGTCTGTTTCTGAATTATAGTCCGCATAATGATGGGTACTGGTTTTTGCCATTGAATCAACGTATTCCTTGAATTCTAACCTCTCCTCATCACTTAGCTGCTGCCATCCCTGCATCATTGACTTTATTTTGCTAGCTGTGGCATGGACGACATCATCCTTGTGATCATCATAATGCTGGCGAGACGACGAGTGTAGGAAATTAGCCTCGGGCTCCTCCAAATCAAAATCATATGGATATGGTACTCCTCTGGCATATGCTATGGATACCGTCAGGATAAGAATTGCTGAAAGGCTCAGAGCAACGGGGGACACCATCCTTCTTTGTCTCAAGAATTCCTGCTGCAGTACAAACTACCGATTAGTACTGAACTACCTGCAGTAAGTGCAGTTAAGCTGGGTGCTTTTTGGTTTTATAGATCCATATAGAGCATGGGCGGAGCTGAACTACCGGTACCTTTCGTTCCCATGGAGATAAGCACATGGACTTGGTTGGAACTATAATAGTGGAGTAGTCACTGTGAGCACTGACTGAGCAGTAATGTTTCGTGGCAAGAGAGAGAGGGATGTGGAGAAAAAGGAGAAATCCTCAAGTAGCAGAAAAAGAACTCGTTTTGTTACTCCAATAAACCCATCACAGTCTGAAGGTCTGTCTCAAGAGAAAGAGCTCACATCTGCCACTCTTGAGCATTCTGCTCCCTCTCACACTCCAACCCATGAACCTTTATTATTAAATGATTCTTTGGATGTTTTAGTTTCACCTCACAACTCATCAATCGATGTAAGTTAAATGTGGGTATCACTGTCACATTGAGGTTTTGATTGCAAATTTTTAAAATTAATTTTGGCTCAAACTGTGTTACAAATTATAATTAAAAATAGGATAGCATAAATGAAGGGCAAGATTCAATTGATTCTTCTACTGTCGCTGACACTGGCCGATCTTATACTCCACTAAAGCAAAACAAAAAGTATGACTTGCATGGATTTAGAAACATTCAAGGGAAGAGAGGTCACAGAAAAGAATCACATAAAATGAACCAATCTAGATCAATGAATCAGTCTAAATCAATGGAGATTAGTTTGAGTCGTCAGCTATCTTCTCCTCGTGGTGATACTACTGATGTGTTTGATTTTCCTGTTAGTCAGGAAGGTCATCATGGAGGCTCCATTTATAGAGACAGTGAAGGTGATCACAATGGAAGCTCCTCTCTTAATGAAGAAGATCAATACATGAATGAGTCAGCTGAGCTTTTTACTAAATCAAAAATCAATGATGAAAAAGTTAGTTATATTTTAGTACCCTTAATTCCACATATCATTACCTGTGTTTTTTTAATTTTTTTACTAGAGAATTTAATTTTTGACACATAACATTATACTTTCTCATTATGATCAAAAATTGGATTTTTTTAAGTTGCTCAAAAATTGAGCAAAAGTCTCTGTACTATAGTACAGGGTGTCAAAAATTGCTATGAAAGATTTTTGCATTTATATAATTTTTTGATACATATACATGTTCTGATGTTGTTTATCAAGTTTGAACTGATTCTGATCAAAATTAGATTTTTTATGAATTTTTTAAAGTTGCTCAAAAATCAGGCAAAATACCCTGTCTATAGTACAGGGTCGTTGGCCAAATTTCACCAAAAATGGCTATGAGAGATTTCTTCATTTTAATAAATTTTTCTGGTGCATATACATGTTCTTATGTTGTTCATCAAGTTTGAGTTAATTCCGATCAAAATTAGATTTTTTATGAATTTTTTAAGTTGCTCAAAAATCAGGCAAAATACCCTGTACTATAGTACAGGGTCGTTGGCCAAATTTCACCAAAAATGGCTATGAGAGATTTCTTCATTTTAATAAATTTTTCTGGTGCATATACATGTTCTTATGTTGTTCATCAAGTTTGAGTTAATTCCGATCAAAATTAGATTTTTTATGAATTTTTTAAGTTGCTCAAAAATCAGGCAAAATACCCTGTACTATTAGTAACGCGGTAGCGTTACTAAGTAGGATTCACCCCCAAACAAAATGGCTGCCACGACTTTTGCAGCCTTTAGTACAGGGTCGTTGGCCAAATTTCACCAAAAATGGCTATGAGAGATTTCTTCATTTTAATAAATTTTTCTGGTGCATATACATGTTCTTATGTTGTTCATCAAGTTTGAGCTGATTCCGATCAAAATTAGATTTTTTATGAATTTTTAAAAGTTACCCTGTACTATAGTACAGGGTCATTGGCCAAATTTCACCAAAAATGGCTACGAGAGATTTCTTCATTTTAATAAATTTTTCTGGTGCATATACATGTTTTTATGTTGTTCATTAAGTTTGAACTGATTCCGATCAAAATTGGATTTTTTATGAATTTTTAAAGTTGTTCAAAAATCAGGCAAAATACCCTGTACTATGGTACAGGGTCATTGGCCAAATTTCACCAAAAATGGCTACGAGGGATTTCTTTATTTTAATAATTTTTTTGGTGCATATACATGTTCTTATGTTGTTCATCAAGTTTGAGCTGATTCTGATCAAAATTGGATTTTTTACGAATTTTAAAATAAATTTAAAAGTTATCGTAATAACAGCTATGATAATTATTAAATTTTTAGAGAGCCATCAATGCTCAAGTACTGAAAACCATATTGAAAACTAAAAAAGACCTTCAAAATATGAGAGAGAGATATGCAATTTTGTTTGCCTCTGAGGTCACTTCTAAGGTATGTACATACATGGCAGTATGATGGCACATTTATGTAATCTTACTAATTTGGAGAAATAGTGACAATTTGAAGCTTAATAAGAATTGGCATGTTTAATGTGTTAATTTTCTTGTGTTTTCTTAGAATCAAAAAGATTTGTCAATTTTTCTGACTGGATCAGAAGAATAAAATAACAAAATGAAAATTATGGATCGTTATTAACTTATAACACTTATAACACAACTGTAATCAAATTTATATATAAAATAATCATCATTCATTATACATGTTTATTTATTGTACTGTTATTGGTTGTCTGAGTTGTATCATTTTATCGCATTGATGATCTACAGAGAATCTATGTCTAATGCAATAATTGAAATGACAGCTTGGGCACACAAACGGCATTAAAATGTGTTCCCTGCAGTTCTTGACTCTACATCTGTGAGACCTTTTTCTATTAATACTGAGTACGTGATCCTTACAACCACTAAGCAAATGTCTCTCAACCTATGCATAATAGCAAAAAATAATTATTAATGATTAAGTTTCTTATGATAATGTACGTGTGCTTCATTTAGTGTACAATTTCTATTAGCCTCAATATCCCACACTCATTCTATGCATGTATATGTACATGACAGTTTGAACTTAATTGGGAAAATAATAGCTACTAACCTGATCATTTGCTGATTGATGTGAGCCTCTCGCAATTAATTGGCCACATAATGGACATTGTGGTATTTCGGTCTATTTGTAAATAGTTGAATAACTATTGTGAATTATTCATTTAAACTTACATTTCCCATTTCTGAGTTAGGACAGTTGTGATCTTGTTCTCTTCTGTGTTCAACACTATGCAAGAATAGTACAACAACTTAATATGCACATTCCACTGTAATAAATGCTACATTGTACAAATAGCTTTACATAGACACTTTCATACAATAACTTATCATTATAATCATAGGCTATGAATTACCAGTATATTTCTAAGCACTTCTTGCATTTGAAAGGTAGGAAATCCAACTGATTGCATCCAGGGTGCTTGCAGTGCTGGCCTATAGACATCATATCTTCTTCCTCGTGTTCCGACATTGCCTTGTCTAGTGTTTACTTATAACATTACTGCTACTTCTTTCCCTCACTGACTTATATGCACAATTCATAATGCCAACTGTAGATAACACTGCATTCTATTTATAGTAACATTATTAACGTGGGCGCATGCCTAGTTATGAATAGTTAGTGACTGCTGAGTAGCCCATAATAATGAGACACGGTGAGTGATCACCTCATAGCAAGCTATGTAAACTGTCTTTGGATTGGTATTTATACAGTCATAAAAATAATTCTTTTATAATAAGAGTAAGTGATTGTGGCATATACAGTATATAAATGAAAGGCACAAACCACTCTACAATAAACAAAGAGAATATATATATATAATATAGTAATAATAGTTTTATTGTTGTGGGTAGTAGCACTATTATGCACTCTTACAACTAGTGCACTATGCGTTGTGATGGTGGCAGCTCGGGATGCCAAATATCAAGAATGAGTACAGCTCTGATGCTGTCACCAGTATGGATGACTTCGTGTTCCCACGAGTCGTCAAAAATGATTGCTTTTCCTTCCTCCCAAGTATGCCACTCTGTGCCTACTCTGATCCTTGCTCCTCCATTGTGTATTAGTGTCAGGTGGACTCTTAGTCTCTCGTTCGTAGGCCCAGTGTGCGTGCGTATGTGTGTACCTGGCTGGATTGCAGAGAATTTAATGCTCGTAAAGTCTTGTCCACAGTTCTCGATGTGTCTCATGGTTTTTGGGAAATACTCTGTGTGCTTTAAGAACCCAAGGCCGGAAGACTTGAGTCTCAGTTCGGTCCAGTCTCCGCCTACGTGCAGGTTCTCTGCTTCCTCCGTAAAAAGGTGCCTCCTCTCCTTTAAGTTGCTAAGCAGCTCGTCTTTTATGTCTTGATACCCAGACTCCAGTCTTGTGATGAATGGGTAGTTGGTTTTGTCATGCCATGGGAGAGAGGTCAGTCCAGGGACATATTTTGACACAGGTCTCTGTAGGGGATTGCCCCACATTCCACGTGAGACTGCATTGGAGAATAGTTTTCTAGCTGGAGCTTCGTAGTCAATGTACATGAGAGCTAGTCCAAACTGATCAACTACAAACAAATTGTTAGGTAAGAGGAGGAGAGCTTTACGATAGAGCTCGTAGCGCTCAGAGTCTGTTAGTTTGAGCTCATTTCGTCTCGTGTTGAAGGTCTGCAATGCATCGGCATCCATTGCCATTGCTCTCTTGAGGTACGTAAGCATTTCTGATATAATCCCAGAGCTGTTTCTGGTATCTGTTGCTGTAGAGCCTCCATTGTTGAGTGTGGTAGGAGCTGCAGTGACAGATATTCCGGGAGAGAACCCATTGCTGGAGCCAATGTATTTGATAGGCTCGCAGTCTATGAAGAAAGTCTCATCTACTTTCAGTCTCTCCCTCACCTTCTCCCAAAGCTGTGAGAGCTGCTGTATTGCAACTGGGTGAAGCTGGCTGAAGCATGTTTCGTACGTGAAGCGAGGTTGAAGGGACTTGCAATACTTTTTGAGCACCTTGCATGGATTGTCTCCAACTTTAAAGACCAGGTCAGCCTGCCCCGTTATGGGGAGCCGGTGGAGTGTTTCTTTTTCCTTTTTACCGTCGACATGGACGCTGCTGTAGCTGAGTAGCAGTGACAGCACTAGGCTGTGAAGGAGGAGAGAGTATCTCCTCGGGCTAGTGATTAAGCTCATCCACTGAAAGCGGTTCCTAAAAGCTCAGTGACCAGTGACTTCTGCTTGCCTTACCTTTTACTCTCGTGTTTGGCTTCTGTTATTAGAAAAGGGCGTCTTTCTCTCCTTTTCTTCTGCTCTAGCTGCAAAGGAACGAGGGGTGGTGGGTGGTGTAAAATTATATAGAGACGTCATCATGCATAAATGTGCAAGAAGGCGTGGCTCGTTATGCATGCACGACGAATGGATGGACAAGTGAAAAGTGAAACTACACAATAATACAAGATGGCCCGTGGCTCCTCTTTCCTTCGTTTCTTTGAGCCAAGTGTGGACCCCTCCCTTGTTGACGATACTGATAGGCTCATCGACTTCCTTAGTGCTTCAGAACGTCTTCCTCGTCTCCTCAGCAGAAAGGATGACAGAGGATACACCTTACTGCATTATGCAGCAGAAAGAGACAGACCTGAGTCACTTAAGATACTACTAATAAATGGAGGTAAGTACTATAGTAATGGTACTGTCATAATAATTAGCCACACCCATCCACTGCATTATTAAATACATTACATTATTGAAAATAATTTTGAACAGTGTTTATTTTAATGCAATGAGTTACGCTCGGAAGTGATGGGTGTTCACTATAACTTGTACAATAGTGATCATAATGACCAGATATGTACTAGTGCTCACAAGTTGGGAGTTGTATCAACTTACATTATGTAGATTATAGTACATGATGTTATTAAATTGCATAGTGGGATTCCTTTTAAATCTTACAAAGTATCAAACAGTGTGTAACATGTGACAGTGTATAATATTATTGCTTGTGGAAACCATTCATAATAGTAGCACTAATACTCATGATTTTTTTATATAGCTGATCCTAATATTCGGACGTCTCATAATTCATTTGAAATTACTCCGTTACACATAGCAGCTGCTAATGGACACTTGGACTGCCTGAAGAGACTAGTAGAGTCAGGAGGTGACCCTCTCCTTAGGGACAGCAAGAACAGGCTCCCCCGCGACCATGCACAGGGTAACAGGCAAGAACTCTGTCTTGAGTACCTCCAAAAGGAAAGCGGTATGTACATGTATACTGCTAACATACACGAGCTATTATGTGTGTGGTGAATGTTTCATTGTTGTTTGTTTATGCATATTTACTTTCAATTTAAAAGTGAGCTGTTTATTGTTGATATAATGGATGCATACTATTTGTTATTTTAGAAGTAAGTTTTAATTTTAATAATTAGACTTGTTTTTGGAATTATAATTATCTTTATCTTATGGTTCATTGATGGACAGTTTATGTAGGAGGAGACCATTAATTCCTTATAAGTCCTGCACTGTTGCAATCACATGCCTTACACTTGAATAAGTGTTCCGCCTGCTTGTAAATTGTAATCTTATCTCTCCAGAAATTGAGACTTATTGAAGGAGGCGATCCTTGACCAATATTTCTTTTTTTGATTTGAATTTTGCAGCTGTACAGCGGCATTATAACTACTCATCTCCTCATAATTACTCCTTTATTTTTCTAGCTACAGTAATTAAGTCTGGGATATCAGAGCCTTTGACAACCATATTTTATTTAGTAATTATGGCTGGTATGTTGTAAGCTGGTATATGCCCATGTTCTTTAATTGTCAGTATAGCTCATGTGTTTGTATGTACAGTAGAGCATACCCTTTGGCTATGTAATGTACATGTACATTAGTCAGAGCATCACTGTGTGTACATGTACTTTTAGTATAGTGTATCTATAAACAGGCATGCACATGTATTATATGCACTAACAGCAAACACTGTATAATTGTATTGATGTTTGTCTTTGGTTTATAGTTACTCATTGTGTGTTTATGAATAATTTCTGATCCATATACATGTAATAAATAAATATTCCTTACTATTATTATTATTATTATTATTATTATTATTATTATTATTATTATTAATATTATACACAATGAGAGACAAGAGAGACAAAAAGGGAAAGCCCATTATTATTATTATTATTATTATTATTATTATGCTGTATAGCTGAACGTGTCCAACATGAAACTGAAGAATTGCAAGAGGTTCTATTAGGTAAGTAGTAATTGAAGGTGGGATAAGGAGTGGTGCTGCTTGTTACTTGTACATTAATGGTAGTGATTCATTGCATTGTATCTGACTATTGAACACTGCATTGTGTGGTATTTTACACTCTATACAATGTACATGTACACACTCTCTCACTGGCTTAATTATAATAGTCAGTATATCAAATATCATTTGCCATTTTAGCTTCATAATGGACTCCAAAATATCACTTTCTTGTAATTCATTTTGATTGTGTATGTACTTATAATGACTGGGTAGGAAGACAGATAAGATATGGGGACAGAGTTTAGCTGGAGGAAGAGGGTGGACAAGAGAGAGAGAGAGAGAGAGGGTGGTTTATGCTCTTGCAGTATTGTACATGTGTATTGTCTCTCTGGGGGATAGTCACTTTGTATAAACATACCAACAACATTTAATGAATTATTATAATAGACAAAACTTGTTTTTTATGCATACTTTATTCATTAGAATTGTACTACTAATAATAATAATGTACTAAATTGGTAGCCTATAGATACACTGTAGTGTGTGCTGGTGGATTGTGATTGTAACTATAATAAGATTAACTGAGTTATAATATGATAGTAAGTGATGTGATTGCTTTGTGAATTGAGACTTATAGTCTGTGATTACATATGTACATATGCTGCATCCTTCTCCCTCTCTCCTTCCACCCCTCTCTCTCTCTCTTTTTCTTTTCCAGATGTTTCTGAATATCTTGAAGCTGGGGATTTTGAGTCATTATTCAACTATGACAATTTCAATAAATCGTTTCCTCTTGATTCTTCTAAACCAACACCGACCACACCTGAGGACAACATTATTGAGAGGCAAGAAATACACACATTTATATTGAACACATATACAAAGTACAATGCATGTGCATACACATACATTACACACTAAGCCCTTACATTCATTTATGCATGTAAGCACTGAAGCACTGACAGTTCATGGCACTGACAGCCATAAACTGTCAGTGCATTTAAGCACTGTCATTCATGCATTCAACCATTGTCTGTAAATGGTGATTTTGTTATTTTTGTGATAATTGAGTATGTCATTCTCATTGTATTATATGTAGTTCACAATGTACTTGTGCATGCACTCAAAGTGTGTTTAACCTACTGTACATGATAAATGTTGATATAATCTTCTAAAGTCATTTTGTGTTTCCATTCTTTGTTTGTTTTTCATTTTCTTGTTTTCATCTTTTCTGTGTACGCTGTATGCTAACAGGTATCTCCTTTTCCTCCTTTTTCGTTCTACCTTCCCTCCCCCTCTCTCTCTTCTTCCTTTGGGAATGCTTTTAGCTAAGTTTATATAAATGTTATGATAATCCTTTAGGATGTATACACTGTTAGTATAAACAGTGTGTGTGGGGTAAAGTATGATGTACATTACATAATCTTTATACTATTGTAGATACTACATATACATGTAGATGTAAATGTAGTATTTGTGGTATAAGATATCCCATTGTGACTTGTGCATGTGGGGACTTGTGTTTACTCTCTTTGTTTCCTTTTAGACTTCATTATTTCATAATCTGCATGCTTTCAGTATTATTGTTTCATATCTTTTATCTTATAAAAACTCTCTACCGCCCACCCTCTCCTTTTCTCTTTCTTTTTCTTTCTTTCTCTCTTTCTTTATTTCAGACATTGTAACCTTCTCAATAACTCGACACTGGTCCATAGTCTAAGTCGTTTCACGCGTGACTTCCCTATATCCTTACATTATGTGACGATCCTCCATGCTGCAGTACAATACAATCACATATCACTCGTTTCATTTCTAGTCTCCAACTATCCTTCACTCCTCACCCAGCCCTCCAGTGAAGGATACACTGCACTCCACGTTGCTGTATCCCACAAATGCTTTGAGATAGTACAGATACTGACCGAGGCATACATGAATATTTATAGGCAGCGGAGCAGTAGTGTCGCTTTAGCAATGGGCGGAGCCAACCCTCGTATTAGAGCTCCGCCTTCTGAAGCTCCATTGCTGTTCTCCCCTACTAATACTGGCCATACTCCTCTTCATATGTCAGTTGCTCTCTGCGAAAGAGAAATAACCTTGTTATTCTTATCTCATGCTAAGCAGCTCTCGCTCTCTCTTGAGGGAAGTGCGTGTGGCTACACTGCCCTTCATTTAGCAGTTCATTTCAATCAACCGGAAATGGCAGCACTTCTACTGAGCAATGGGGCTAATCCTAATGCAACTCTAGCTGGGGAGATGGGAGGTCTTGCCAAAAACCCACTGGCCGAAGCAGCTATCAATAACAATCCACTAATGATAAGGACTTTAGTTAGCTACGGGGCAGAAGACAGGAGACATGATGCTCTTAATTACGCTCTCTCTCAGGACATGACGCAGCCTAATGGACTCAAGGCTGAAGTGATACCACTCCTTTTTGGTAGTCTTGTCAAATGTGATGAGAATGCCACAAAGACTCTGGCACAGTCTCGTAAAGAACCTCGCTCTCACAGACACAAGATGGCCGTTGTAGAGTGGAACGGACTAGATATGACAGAGTTCAAGCCGGAGTGGTTCTACGACAGTCTCAACACTTGCCCTTTGTTTGTGTCACAGTCACTCACTGAGAACCTCTGTTTGAAATTTATCAATCGCTTAAACATCTCAAAGAACAAACTCACTTTCGTTCCAATTGAGTTCTTTCGTCTCCAAAACCTCACGACGCTTAACTTATCCCATAATTGCCTTGGAGAGCTTCCTGATGTTGTTCCTATGGCAACTGATTCAACAACCCCTACCTGGCCTTGCGGGAGTTTAAACAAACTCGATATCTCTCACAATCAGTTGAAGGAACTGCCAATTTATTTATTTGAGCTCCCCCAGTTGTCAATACTTGATGCCAGTCACAACCAGTTGACGGCTCTCCCAGTTTTAATGTGGAGTGCTCCTAAATTGAGTTCACTGAACTGCTCTCATAACACCATACAAGAGATACCGACTAACCTGTCTTACGTGATGGAGAATTATGATATTATTGATATAGCAGGGGCTAATGGTCCCCCTGGGGCTAGTGTGACATCTCCAACACAAAGTTAGTCAGTTACGTTCAGTTAGCCCATGCATGTATGGGAAATCATTAATTCTCATGCATATACATGTAACTCAGAATTTTTTGTAAATGGGAATTGGCTCCTTCCATAGCATTAGAGTATCATGATTTGCATTACAAACTAATTTTAGGTCATTTATATGTACATGTGTACATCAGCATCACTACATGAAGTTAGTGTTTTTTTCTTTTTCTAGCATTGAGTGGTTTATCTAGTCCAAGGAGTAAAGCCAGCACTAGGCGTGTGTCTACTGATCCTGCTGGTGCATCCATTGTACAGTCGTACTCTGTAAGAATTTAAAAAAAAACATTTGCAACATAACACCATCCTTTCCTCTCTCTTTTCCTTTTTATTTCTTCTTTTATCTCCTTTCCTTTCTTTTTCCTTCTTTCTTCCCCTCCCTCTCCATTCTCCTTCTCTACAGGATAATTGTTTTACTGATGATTCCAGTCGCACTACTGATGATAACATGATCACACCGGATAAAGTCCGTCAGACGAGACTCTACGATCGTTTGAACGTCTGCAACGCTAACCTCACCATTGAGTGGGATGCGTTGGAAGGAAAGCAAGAAATATTTGACGGTCTAAATAATCTTAATTTGTCCCACAACGAAATAAAAGTGATCCCGAGTAATCTACCTTGTCTTTGCCCAAAGCTAACTCGTCTTGATCTCTCTCACAATGGGATATCAGATCTTGCTCTGCCACGAGCTGTCCCTTCCAATTTAAAGCAATTGAACGTGTCGCATAATGACATATTGAGACTGGATAGCTACAAGAGCCGTGTTGAACAACTACCTTGTACTAACCCTAAGGTAAAACATTAAACTGTTTCTATTATCATTATTAGTATTGTTATCATTATTGCTTGCCTTATACAATAGCATGTTGATGATTGATCATCTTTCATTTTTATTGTTGTCTCTAATTATTTTTTCTCTTTCTATATGTACAATACATGTTCACCTACCTCTTTCTCTTTCCTTTTCTCTCATTATTATTGTTATAAAATTTTATTTCTATAGACTCTTATCAATTCTGGTGGTACCATATATCGTGATCCTAGTAAGCCATTCTGCTCCCATCGCTCACACAATCACCTCATTTCACTTGCTGTCCTTGACGCATCTCACAATCAAATAGCTGATGTCAAACTATACAGGTTGGCATTCAAAGAAACGTACCATGTATTATAATTTTTAAATATTAATAAATTTTCTCTCTCTTTTTTTCCTCAGCCCTGTTCATCTGGTGAGTGATAGAGGTGGTAAAATAAAAGTGACCGATATCCCACTGTTTGCTGCTCTTGCTTCCGCTAGTGGTCAGAGTCAGGATCGCGTGAGGCAACTTGCCAAACTTGCTTGTCCACTACTCACTCGACTCGTACTACATCACAATCAAATTGCTGAAGTAAGAGAGCAATGCTTTATAGTAAACATTGAGTGGATGAGCATAAGATAGTATAATAGTAGTTTGGGGTAATTCTGTTGTCAATTTTTTAGAATCCATGGCTCAAAGTTTTAATTTTTTAAATTATGCAGCAGTGTAGTCTTTTTACCTTCACCTTAGCTTTTAAAAATAATAGTTGTTAAAATTTTAAGCTAAAATGAATGCATATGCATTATATCTACATGTACATGTACACGTATGTGTGACACTGTTATTGCTAAATTCTGTTTCTCTAGGTTCCTCCAAGCGTCTGTGACATGACTTCCCTCAATTCCGTTGATCTCAGTTGGAATAATATAATTGAGCTCCGCCCGTCACTTGGTAAACTAGGCAATCTGTGGGAATTCCCACTAGACGGTCTTCAGCTCATATCTCCGCCACATAATATCATTGACAGGGGAAAGACCAAAGACATTATTGGTTTCTTGTGGTCACTCCTGCAAAGGTAAGGGACTTCATTATGAATATTGTCATTGTTGATGTACACCCACAAGTACAAATCTACATGTACATGTATGGGTGACCCATACATGTACATGTAGATTTGTGTTTGTACATGTATATTTTATTGCACATAATGACAATAATAATAATTTTTTCAGAGCCAGGCCGTATCACAGGATGAAACTGATGCTAGTTGGTAAAGCTGGTCGAGGTAAGACCACATTACTTAGGAAGATATCAGAGAAAGGACAGAGTGGAATTCAAGAGAACCTGTTCCTTACTAGAATGAGCAGTGATGCCAAGAAGTTTCAAAAGGATTTATCAACAGGTAAGCAATAATAACATCTAATTAAATAATCTTAATTTGCATATACATGTACATATAGTTTTTTTGATGTGAATGTAATATCAAAAATCTCTTAATTGTCATATACTTACAAATATGCTATGACCTCATCCCTTTTATCTTATACTTTGCCCTTCAGTCGGTATAGTAGTCAGTGACTGGACTTATACCACTAAACATCATTCCGACCAAACACAGACTGGCCTCAGGAACATCACTTTCATGACTTGGGACTTTGGAGGACAAGTACATACTACCTGCATATCTACACAATATATTATGACACATGTACCCTTTACATGTACATCTACATTACATTATAGTATGTTCATGTCTTTTGGTGTTATAGGAGGAGTATTATGCCACTCACCAGTGCTTCTTGTCAAGAAGGTCACTCTATCTTGTAGTGTGGAATGTGACTCATGGAAGGGAAGGAGTGCTGGAGTTAAAACCATGGCTACTCAACATACAAGTTATTATTATCATTATTATTATTATTATTATCATCATTATTATTATTATTATTATTATTATTATTATTATTATTATTATTATCATTATTATTATTATTATTATATGCTAGTTACTTTTATATTATTTTTTTTATTATACTAGGCTCGTGCCCCTAATTCTCCTGTGATTATTGTCGGTACTCATTATGATAAAGTAAAGAGATCACAGCGTCACTTAGTTACTGAGAATGTTGAGCTTATCAATCGATTGTACGGATCAGGATCAAGACTAATGCATCGGTAGGATCTCCCATCCATAACTTATGCTATTATCTAATTTTTTCTTTTTCCCTTTACTCATTCCAGTCAGCATGGTTTCCCTACCATTATGTATAACGTAGTGGTTAGCTGTACTTCAGGTAGTAACATTAACGACCTTAGAGACAAGATATTTGACGTTGCATGTCAAGTCAAGGAGAACACTGGTATCTTGATACATGCAGGGATTGTATTATTTATTATATTACTAGTTACTGGGCGGGGCATTGGGTGTGGTCGTATACCAGAGTATCGTTTATTAATGGATCAGTTGGTTCCAGCCTCTTACCTTCAGCTGGAGGATTCTGTTAGAAGTATTGCATTGACACTGAGGTTGTTGGGTAAACCACCTGTACTGACATACAAAGAATTCAAGTTAGTATACTGATAATACTAATGATACACTATTGATTTACTGATAGTTTACTAATAATTTACTAACTTTTTCTCGCTCAGGGAGTACGTATTTGGTGATGCTCGTACTTTAGTTAGTCGTGATGTTGGAGACAGAGAACTTGAGCAAGCCGTTAGGTTTCTGCATGACAATGGGACTCTCCTTCATTACGATGACCCTCTACTCAAGGAACTATACTTTGTCGATCCACAGTGGCTGTCGGACATGTTGGCACACATTGTCACAGTGAGAGAGATCAATCCTTTTGTTAAAGATGGTATGATACATGCAGTCCTAATAATGGAGACTCACTATGCATGTACATGTATGTATATTGCAGGTATAATGAAGATTAAAGACTTTACGCTTTTATTTAATGATAAGGACTTCCCCATTCACTGGCAGAAGCAGTATCTTCGTCTCTTGACTACATTCGAAGTAATTAAGACAGTTTCATGTGAATGTGCATGTAATGTGGTCATTCTTAAAGGTAGCTGTGGAGTTCAAGGAAGGAAAACTACTCATTCCTTCTCATCTACCTGAACTCAAGCCAGCACTCTCTCACTGCTACCCTCCAGAGAATACTGTATGAGGATATTAATCATTATTTTAAAAGTCCCTCTCCCTCTCTCTCTCTCTTCAGGTGTATCTTCCTCCATTGAGGCACACGTATTTGTTAGCGTTTGTTCCAAGTGGTTTTTGGCCTCGTCTTATGTCACGTGTCCTTAGTGATCCATCAATTATGAGATTAGCACAAGTTGGGTGTGGTCTCACTGATGAAGGTACCCTAATATATTATTATTATAATTCTTTTATAGTCTGGAATATACATGTTGTATATAATATTTTTTTGTTATTCTTGTCACAGAGTGCCGCCTTCTAAAGTGGACTAAATGGAGGACTGGTATGATCCTCAGGTTTGGCAATGTTACGTTGCTCTCGATGGAAGAGTTATCTGGCAAATTGTTTACTGGAAATGGGACAAAAATGGCTATCATGAAGGATGGGGGTAGGTGGGAGGAACATCCCCTGGACACTACTGTGTACGGAGTCAATGTTGAGGTAATGACTGAAAGAGAAGAGAGAGTTCACGAAAGCATCTTTTGAATCATTTAAAAGTTTTAATGAAATAATTTATTGTTATTATTTTTGTTTTTAGGTTCCAGATGTGTTTCCACTCCTTCGCTATGCTGAGCTTAATCCTAATCGCATACGTATTGTACAGCGGAGCGGCTCAACTGGCCAGCAGGAGGAAGAGGGAGAGGAGCAAGAGGAGGAGAGAGTGAGAAGACCTAGACAACACCTTGGTGACATTACTGAGGATCCAAGAGAAAGGAGCTTTAGTGATAGTATGAGGACACCTCCAACTCAACCTCCTGGTAAGAGAAGAGAGAGAGAGAGAGAGAGATTATAGTGATGATAGAAAATTAGAAAGACGGTCATCTTTATTTGAAATGATTTTACTATTCCTCTCTCTCTACAGCTGCTAGTGGTAGTAGGAATAAGAGGTGGACCATATCCGAGAAGGTTGGATCTATAGCAAGGAAAGTTAGATCATATACCAATATAGCAGACATCAATGACTCACTGACACTGCCACCAACTAGGTAAGCATATTCAGAGTCCATGTATTACTGCTATAAAGCAGGAGCTATTATAAAACTTACCATTATATTTATAACTTGTAGTTCTGTTTCTCAGAGCCCAAGGGTTGCTAGTGGCTTTGTTGTCCTTCCCGATCACCATAGCAATAGCTCAAGCAGTGATTCTGAGGATGAGAAGAAGGACAAGGAGGAGGAGGAGGGAGAGAGCACAGGAGGCATAGGAAGAGTGAGAGGAGTACTGAGGAAAGAAGAGATACAGACACAGTTTGAGGAGTTGAAAAAGAAAAGAGCACATGGACATCATCCTGGAGCAATCTGGAATGTAAAGGAAGAGAGAGAAAGAGAGAGTTTTAAATTTTAATTTTGAAAAATTGTGACAAGAAAGATGAGATGGACTCTCTTTGTTTTATAGAATGATTTCAATACAATGAGCAGCAATGGACCACCAAAACTAACAGAAGAGAACAACGACAGAATGAGAGCTGGTCTACTTTCAAAAGTAAAAATTAGCATACATGTAGACACGTATTACAATGTCTAATTTTTAAAGTTAAAATGAACCATTTTCTGAACAAAAGCATTATATAGTCTATGATTATTTCTCTAGAATCACAATCTCTTTTCTTTCCAACAGGTAGTGGATCACATTACCCTCTTGGTTGAGGATTGGTTCACTGGCGTAAGACCAAGGTTTCTCGTTGTACCTTGTCCTCACTGTTCTCACGGACTGACAGGTCCAACACAAGGCAGTGACAGAATACCATTCCTACGATCTTTTTCAATTAATCCACAAGTCCGCCCACCAAATGATTTGGTGGATAGCTCAGTGAGTTTCATAAAATTAATTATAATAAATATATCTTTTTAAAAATACCCTTTCTTCTAGTTTTATCCTTATTCTGCTCCAACTCAAGCTCATATTGCTAGTACCATCGCCTCTCAAAGTTCTGTTCCTCAGCAGCGTAGTAGGTGGGGCTGGGGGCGTGGTCAAGGAGCATCACCTGTCCCTGCCCCTACTCCAACTCCCAATGTAGTGTTTTATGCATTCCAGTATGAGGAGTGTGTCGTTAGGGCTAGAGATGTCCCTTATGTGAAGTGCCCTGTCCACGGAGAGCTTCCATTGGAGTACATTGCACCAGATACTGTAAGTAATGTATGTATTTCTTTTCTTACTATCTTCTGTCTCTCCTAGTTGTTCTTAACTGAAGGTCGTGATGTGCTCCTCCAACCTGATGAAGTGCTTAAGAAGGAGCGATTGGGACGTGGTGCTTTTGCTACTGTTTATCATGCACAGATCAAAAGAAAACTACCCAATGTATGCATGTACATGTACATGTATGTGTACTAATTGCTGGCTAAATTACATACTTAATGATATATTTCACTATATTAGTTGCAATGGTGCGATCTTCCTTTAAGAATTATAATCCTATTAATATATTAATTATATTGCATTTGTCTGTATTAAGACTATCCATTATTATTATTATTATTATTATTATTATTATTATTATTATTATTATTATTATTATTATTTATTTTTTAGGGTCAAATTCATTTTGAGGATGTTGCCATCAAGGCACTAGGCAATAAAGGGGAGGATCTTGATGATGATGATGATGAGGACATCAGTCTTGACGAGGAAGAGGAGAGACCTGGAGGAGATGATGAGTATGATGGAGAGAATGCAAGGGAACCTCCTCCAATCCAAAGATCTGCCATTATTTCCGGATTCAATAATTTAAAAAAAGAGCTCTCGATTCTATCTCCGCTGCGTCATCCTTACATCATACAACTGTTTGGTGTGTCTGCAAGGCCATTAGGTAAAGATGTTTGATACTAACTGTGTTATCAGTGTGTTAGTGACGCATCAGTGGTCAGTGTTTTTGTATTAGTATTGCTGTTAGTGGTGCGTTAGTAGTCTGTTAGTTTTGTGTCAGTGAAATGCTATGATCTAATAATACTTATTGTGTTACATTGCATTAGTATTGTGTTTAAACTCTGTTAAACTCAATCCATAGGACTAGTACTTGAGCTGGCACCTAAAGGAAGTTTAAAGTCATTGCTTAAAGAATATTCTGAAGCTCAAACTCACATTCAATCATCAGCTATGCAAGCAGTCACATTGCAAGTGAGTTATTGCTGTTTTTACTCAAATATTATTTTAGTCACAAAATTTTAAAATAATAGATCAGTGATGCATTAAAGTATTTGCACGATTTAAGGATCATATATCGTGACTTGAAGAGCGACAACGTTCTTGTGTGGCAGTTCCCCAGTCCTTATGATGTACTAGTACCTGCACTACCTGTTCATACTGATGTAGTGTAAGTTAGAGATAAACTTTGCAAATAATTGTTGCATATTCTTTACTATTTTTAGTAAAGTGAAGCTATCAGATTATGGTATAAGCCAGTTTGCATCAACACAAGGTGCTAAAGGGCTAGTAGGTACACCAGGTTTCATGGCTCCCGAGATACTCATGTATTACGGGAAGGAAGCCTACAATGAGAAAGTTGACATATTTTCCTTTGCAATGTTGATATATGAGATGATAACATTCAGACTTCCATTTGAACACTTGACACCATCCCAAGCTAATCAGGCAAATGAAAATGGAGCTAGGCCTACACTTAAGAGAATAGTAAGTTGTGCAGAAAAGCTGGAAAACTATAAGTAATATGATTTTCCAGAGATCATGCTTTAATCTAATAAGTTTCGTATATTCTGAATCATCTCAAACTCTTGTATAGTATAATAGAGTTAAGTGTAATTTTTGTAGGATCTTCCTTGTCCTGTTCTAATAAGAGAGCTTATGGTTTGGTGCTGGCAGCAATCTGAGGAGCTTCGTCCAACAGCCTCTCAGATAACAAAGGTCTCTCAAATGGACCAGTTCCTTAGACTAGCTGATGCCATCAGAGTTAACAACTTTGGAAGCCAAGTAAGGGAAAGAGAGTGGATTCATAAAAAGAGAGTAGAATTAATTTTTAAAATTATTTTTTAATTCTTAGGTTGCTGGTTCATGTTATCGCATACTCAAATCTCCAGTTTTTAAGCCAAGCCTAACTCCCCATACACCAGGACATCATTCCTTCCCTTTTGTACCTTCACTAAAATCACAAGGAGCTTCCCCTTTAAGGACTAGTATTAAAGCTAGTAGCATCCCTACCAATGAAACCGGCAGCCGTGCAGCTGTATCAAATCAACCTCAATCAAAGATTGATTCAAATCCAAATCAAGTTGACATTAATCCCAAAGAAGAAGGATTGCTATCAAAAGCCTGCAATGAGTCTGGGCATAATCTAATGTTTAACAGCACTGAGAAGCAATTGCTGGAAGCAGCTGCTGAGATAAGAGCTAATGAGACTAGTCTACCATTGACTGAGGCACAGAATGTCATTGAAGATCTTGTGTCTCCTATGAGTACTAGTAGTGCATCTTCTTCAGTTCACTTTAAACCTCAGGCTTATGTGACTGAAGAAGGAGAGTCTAAGCACAGGATACCACCTTCTCTTCAGATCCTCCCGGACATAGGAGAGGGAGAAGAGAGGGAGAGAGAGGGGGAGGAGGATAATCACAGGTTTTATCAAGTGTGGGTTGTCTCGTCGTCCAATCACAACTCAGTTGCTACTGTTGTTGATTATTGTGGACAATTTATGAAGATTGAGGTAGTTTCTATTATAATTGTATTATTGTAATAGTAATAGATTAATACTTACATGTAGTATTGTAATAGTTAAACAAAGTCCCTGTACTATAGTACACGGACTTTGACCAAATTTCACCAAAAATAAAAAATAGAGTAATCTCTGTACCTTTACAGGATGTTGATTTGGGAGACTCGCCTGTATTAGCCATTTCAATGGTGCACGATAAAGTTTGGATTGGATTTGAGATCGGATACCTTTGTATCTATGATGCTGACACACACAACACACTAGCACAGGTATTACATATCCACATTCATTCATTCGTACCATCATTATGCATTAATTCCCTGTATTCAGGTATGGATTAGACGTGGTATAGCAGTTCAGAGTATAGCACACATCCCACAGTTATCACAGGTGTATGTTGGATTAGCCAATGGTACTATACTCTCCTACAGTGACATCATTACTCCTATTTCTAACGACGATGACTCTGTACCACTCATCGCTACTCATCTCACGCCACTCTCAACGTACAAGGAGCCAAACGAGATATGCCCAGTGATATTACCTATAATGGTAAAGCCTTGGAATGAAGAGGAGGGTAGAGAAGAAGAGGGTATTGCCTTTCATTTATGGGTCGGACAGAAGAACAAGTCTATTACTGTACTAAATGCCGAGGATCTGTCTATCGTCGATTTTCTTGACACTCCTGATGATACAACCCCGTGTCCCAGCTATCTTGATCAAGTCCCTTTTTACTACTTGACCTCTTCGGTCTCACCTAAAGACAGCGAAGACTCTGAGTCTATTCTCTTGAGAGAGGATGCCTTGGAACCAGTTTGGGTTTACGGTGCATTGAGACATGGTCAGTTTGTTACAGTCTGGGACGGAGCCTCAAGAAAGATAAAGACATGCTTTAATGTGCTGGACCTCCTACCTCACTGGAAAGGTTAATACTTACTGCTCCTTTTTCTCTCCTTTCTTCTATTTCTCTTCCCCCCTCCTCCTCTATCTCATTCCCTCTCCTATTATTATGTGTTCTTCTCTTTCCAATAGAGGATGCTATGCCATCAGTGAGTGCCTTATACTGTAGTAGCTCTTATATGTACATTGGACTGGTTACTGGTGAGATACTTGTGCTCGATCACCTCCACCTCTCTCTCCTCACTACCCTCCATTGTCATCGGTCAAACGTTCACAGTTTCCTCTCAATTGACTTGAGGAAGCTGTTGCCGCCACAGCAAGAGTATCAAGGACTTGGAGCCATGACCCCAACTGTATATCCGTCTCACCCTTTCCTTACTAATAGTGATCAGTCTGACGTCAAGTATAAGACCGGCCCACTTCAACTCATGAGCTTTGGCACTGGTTTTAGGTAACGACCAACTTACACTATGCAAGATTAAATTTACATGCAACATGTTACATATATTACACGTACTTTATGCATGTATTTAATAATATGCAAGTATTGAAATTCAATTATTATCCAAAGTATTGTTAAAATTTTATTATTTTTGATAATGCACTGTAGGGCGTATTATGAATCGAACGATACCATTGATTATACGAAATCTTCTTTCCTGTTGGTCTGGGAGGCTGCTGGATGGGGAAAGAATGTTTTGTCTCAGGAAAAGCGGCAAGACTGATAATAATTTATACTTTTATATGTTTTAATGTGTGCTCATTTTTGTGTGAATTTTTTTTTACAATTTTTTATTGCAAAAATTGTTTTAAGAACTGAGCACGCCGCATGGCAATTACAACACTTTCAGCTCCACCCATACTAAGTTACTATTAACAAGTAACAACAAGCATGGCGGCTCAGGAAGGTGGAGAATCTACAGTGAAGAAGCGGCCCTCTGGTATTAAGAACTTCATAGCAGGCGGTGTTGGTGGAGTATGTGTTGTTTTGGTTGGACATCCACTGGACACCATAAAGGCAAGCCTCTCATCATTGAATTCAAATTTAATTATTTCTTGACAGGTCCGACTCCAAACAATGCCACCTCCACAGCCTGGAGAAGCTCCTTTGTTTAAAGGAACCTTTGACTGTGCCTACAAGACCTTTAAATTTGAGGTATGCATACCTATAGTGTGCATATTATTACATTTGATTACGTTGTGGCCAATCTAATTCACTTGTATGATGCAGTTCAGGGCTGTACTGCATCTTTATTGATTGAATTTGTACAGCCTCTAAATGATAATTTCTCTGCTCTGTTGCTTCTATTGAACTGATCGTGTAACATACATAATTTAACACTTATTAAGAGGTGTCAAAAATCGTACACCTTCCAAAGAAATTACCAATGCAATTTAAAGTATACATGTGATTGGTAATTTTAAGTAATTTGGTTCTTTTGTTATTTAATTTTTTTTGTTATATTTTAGGGTGTGAGGGGTCTTTATAGAGGTATGCTGGCTCCACTGGTAGGTGTGACTCCTATGTTTGCCATCAGTTTCTGGGGATATGGGATTGGACAGAAAATTCAACAAAAATCACCCGAAGACCAATTGACGTAAGAGGTACATGCATCATTCAAAAACAATAATAATCATGCATGTACTTAGAATTTAATAATTCATTTTATTTCTTGTCATTTTTAGAATTCTTCAACATTTCAATGCAGGCATGGTTGCCGGCTTATTCACTACCACTATTATGGCACCTGGTGAGAGAATCAAGTGTTTAATGCAAGTAAGAGCTACTACTATAATAATCTAAGCACACACAAACTTATTGTAATTTTAGATCCAACAAGCCTCAAAAGCAGAAGCTAAATATGCTAGTTCATTTGATTGCGGTAGACAGCTGTTCCGTGAAGGTGGAATTAGATCATTATACAGAGGGACAATGGCTACCATACTGAGAGGTTAGTGTCTTTTATTTGTTGTAAGCCCCTTACTGTGTCTATAGATGTGCCTGGCTCAGCTGCTTATTTTGGTGTGTATCAATGGATTCTTAGAAGCTTGACACCAACTGATGGAAGGTTTGATACATTATAGTTATGATACTATAGCATGCATGGTCTTGCCCTCATGGCATGCTAGGCGAGCTGAGCAACATGCTTCATGAGCTGACGATTATAGCACAACATTAGTACATGGTTTTTGGAGCACTTTGAAAATTCATGAAAATTCAATTTTGACTAGTAGATGTTCATGTATCAGATGAATTATAACAATTAAGATCTCTTTTATTTTCATTACCCTGTACTATAATAGTACAGGGACTTTGGCCCGATTTTGGAACTACTTTAAAAGTTCGTAAAAAAATCCAAATTTGATTGGAATGAGCTCAAACTCAAAAATAGCATAAGGACATGTATATGTGTCAGAAAAAATTATAAAAGTTATAAATTTTGTTCTTTTTATTTTTGGCAAAATTTGGCTGATGACCCTGTACTATAGTACAGGGACTTTGGCTCGATTTTGGAGCAACTTTAAAAGTTCGTAAAAAATTCAGATTTGATTGGAATGAGCTCAAACTCAAAACATAGCATAAAAACATGTGGGAAAAAATTATAAAAGTTATAAATTTTTTACTTTTTATTTTTGGCAAAATTTAGCTGATGACCCTGTACTATAGTACAGGGACTTTGGCCCGATTTTGGAGCAACTTTAAAAGTTTGTAAAAAATCTAAATTTAATTGGAATGAGCTCAAACTCAAAACATAGCATAAAAACATGTATATGTGTCAGAAAAAATTATAAAAGTTATAAATTCTGTTCTTTTTATTTTTGGCAAAATTTGGCCGATGACCCTGTACTATAGTACAGGGACTTTGGCCCGATTTTGGAGCAACTTTAAAAGTTTGTAAAAAAATCTAAATTTAATTGGAATGAGCTCAAACTCAAAACATAGCATAAAAACATGTATATGTGTCAGAAAAAATTATAAAAGTTATAAATTCTGTTCTTTTTATTTTTGGCAAAATTTGGCCGATGACCCTGTACTATAGTACAGGGACTTTGGCCCGATTTTGGAGCAACTTTAAAAGTTCGTAAAAAATCCAAATTTGATTGGAATGAGCTCAAACTCAAAACATAGCATAAGAACATGTATATGTGTCAGAAAAAATTATAAAGTTATAAATTCTGTTCTTTTTATTTTTGGCAAAATTTGGCCGATGACCCTGTACTATAGTACAGGGACTTTGGCCCGATTTTGGAGCAACTTTAAAAGTTTGTAAAAAATCTAAATTTAATTGGAATGAGCTCAAACTCAAAATAAGCATAAAAACATGTATATGTGTCAGAAAAATTATAAAGTTATAAATTTTGTACTTTTTATTTTTGGGCAAAATCCCTGTACTATAGTACAGGGATTTTGCCCAAATTTTGGAGCAAATTAAAAAATTCACAAAACATCCAAATTTGATGGGAATCAGCTCAAACTTTATACACAGCATAAGAACATGTACACGTATGTGTATCAGAAAAAATTATAAAAATGGAGAATTTTCTCCTTTTTATTTTTGGCAAAATTTAGCCAAATACCCTAGTACAGGGACTGGCCGGATTTTAAAGCAACTTCAAAAAAATCATTTTTTGATCAGAATTAGCTCAATTTTTTATGCAACATAAGAATACATGTACATTGTATATATTTTTGTAGTACTAGTCTTAGTCCTAGCCGTATATTATTTGCGGGTGGAATGGCTGGAGTTGCTAACTGGATAATCGCTATACCGCCTGATGTACTGAAGTCGAGATATCAGATAGCTCCAACTGGTAAATATCCAAATGGCATTAGAAGTGTTTTTAAAGAAATGGTGAGTCACCATGGCCTGTTTTAAGCATCATTTGATCATTTTTTTGTTTTATTTTATTCAACAGATGCAAAATGAAGGCATAACTAGTCTTTACAAAGGAGTTGGTCCTGCTATGATTAGAGCATTCCCAGCCAATGCAGTAAGTTTATGTGAAATGCTCATTTAAATGTACATCTAATGAAAGGAACTATCAATAGCTGCATGTACATGTGTAATATGCATTATTATTGGTTGTACTTCTACTGTTTGTAGGCTTGTTTTCTTGGATATGAAGTGGCAATTAAAGTACTTGATAGACTAATGCCAAACATGTAGACAAGATAGTAATGACATTTGCTCACTGTTGTTTCATTTTTAATTTAAGTGAATAATAGTATTTATTATTTGTAACTGTTGCTGATGATATAAATGCTTTTGTAAGCAGCCATTTTTTAATTCAATACACTTGTGTATTAGAAAATGAAGAACTCTCTTCAAGTCATTTTTGACGAAATACACTACATGTATTATATACCGTATAGCTGGTTTATTTCGTGTGGAATTAATTTTCGTGCAGGCTCAAATCCACTAAAATTAATTCCACTAAATTTTATTAAAACCAATTAAATATTAACAAAAATTTAGCAAGGCACTAAAATTAATTCTAATGAAAATTTAAGCAGCAAAAATTTGAGGCCACGAAATAAACCAGCTATACGGTATCCTTGTAAGTAAACTGTCTCTTTATCTTAGTCCATCTAACGTAAACAATTTTGGAAATGCCACTATTGTTGTTTTTGTAGACTACTCCTTTTGATAACAAATATATTCTGTATATTTTTAATGTTGATAAAGCATTTAATATTTGCTTAATGTTAATATGTCTACAACAACTTCCATTATAATGAGGAACAATCAAGTATAGTACATTTTATAACAACTGTATAATATGAACTCATGTTTATAGTGGCAGTTCAAGGATGATATTTAGAATAATAGTAATCTAAACTGCAATGAGGAAACAGTTGGACTCATGCGATTATAAAAAGGCACAAGGCTGAGGATCGGCTGTACAGTAAACAATTGGAAGCACAACGACAAAATGAAATATTTCATAGTACTCCTTTTTGCTGTGTCTGCTCTGGCCATGCCAGATCCTGAGATGACTAAGGAAGCATTTCTTGATGATGAGTTGATTGCAGAAGAGACTGCTAATGCTGGTCTTACTGATAGTGACATACAAGTCACAGATACTCCCATTGAGGCTGCTAGTTCATCTCTCACAAGCCTCTATACAGCAATCAACAGTGCAATTGATGCAAAACTTGCTGATCAGCCAGGTTAGTTCCAATTGATGTGTACAATAAATTTAAAAACTTTCCTTACAGTAATTAAAGTCCTGAATCTTGATTTTGTTCGTAAAAAATTGAAGCTTAGCAAAGTCAATGGTGGAACTCTTTCCTCTTCTACTTTTATTGAGCAAATAAACATTGGAAATGGACATTATACCAGAAAAGGGAGCTATTTAGCTTATCAGCCAAAGTATTTAGATGGTCATAAATCTGGTTTAGCTGGAATATTTCTGAATCTCGAGAAGCTTTTTCCATGCATAGCTGGTAGTTCGATTATCCCTGCCTGTGGCAGGTTTACCTCTGAGGAGGATGGATTCCTTCGGGGTAGATCAATTCTCCAAACAGGTGATATGGGGAATCATATAAGGATATTTGGAAACTCAATAGCCACTTATGGAATGGCTATTTCTGGTTGTCGTGTTCTGAATGGCAAAAATGGTTGTCTTCCACCGTGGTTTCACACAAGAATTACCTGCCTCCTTCCTCGTTCCTGCCAATGAACAACTTGACTCTGCAGGTGAATTGATCCCTTGGACTTTACTATTGTAGTTATATTTTGTTAGAACTAGCTCACAGGATTTTTTAGTTTTATTTTCTTCATTTTTATTTAAGTTTTTTTTGTCAAAGAAACAATGAGAAATTTACTAAAAACTTTTTGCATACCAAAAGCTCCAAGTGTTCTTCCATGCTTAAAACTCTTATTAGTGTACTGCAGTATAATGCTATATCTTAGCAATCATACAAATGCTAATTTTTTACTCAAAAGCACACAACCGTAAATGCATAATGCATCAAAAAATAACAAATGATATCAATCAGGAGCCCTGTATCAACATTATGATAGCTCATACCTTCAACTTCCTGAACTGGAAGTTTTGGTAATTTTCCACGAGGCTTTTGAGTAGGAGGAGCATTAGGAGGCATGCTATGATGTACCCTTCTATCTACTCCTCCTGTAACCTTTGACTGTGCCTACAAGACCTCTAAATCTTATTATTAAATTTGATTTACACTTTGTATGATGTAGTTCAGCATCTTTAATAATTGAATTTGTACAGTTATTGTCTTTTCAGTGTTAGATTTGTGAACTTAAATGTTTTAAGAGCCTCTAAATGATAATTTTCTCTGCTGTTGCTTCCTATGAACTGATTGTGTAGTGACTCCTATTGATCCCCTTAATGAACTGTTGCTGATGATATTAAGGCAGCTATTTTTACTTCATTACAATCAAAAGGCTATTTCATGAAAAAATAGGAATGCTTTCATAAGAACATGTATGTTTATTAGAAAAATAGAGAACTCTCTCAAGTCATTTTTGACAAAATAGACTACATGTACTGTATATCCGCGTAATTATAAACTGTTCCTTAATCTTAACTCATCTAACATAGTCAATATTGGAAACTGAACTATGAAACTAGATGATACTACTATTGTTGTTTATGTAGACTACTCCTTTTGCCAAGAAAAATATTTTTGTATATTTTTAATGTTGGTATAGCATTTCCTAGTATGCTTTATGTAAATATGCCTACATAACAACTTGCTTTATGGACAACAACTTCCATATAATGAAAAACAATCTAGATATGTACATTTTATAGCAACTATATTGTGGACTGTATGTTTATAGTGGAAGTTTTAGGATGACAGTAGAATGATAGTATTCTAAACTGCAGTGGAGAACGCTTGATTCAATGCAATTATAAAAAGGCACAAGGCTGAGGATTAGCTGTACAGTAAAACAATTGGTAGCTACAAAGGCAAAATGAAATATTTCATAGTACTCCTTTTTGCTGTGTCTGCTCTGGCCATGCCAGATCCTGAGATGATTAAGGAAGCATTTTTTGATGATGAGTTGATTGCAGAAGAGACTGTTAATGCTGGTCCTACTGATAGTGACATACAAGCCACAGATACTCCCATTGAGGCTGCTAGTTCATCTCTCACAACTTGCCTCAATACAGCAATCAACAGTGCAATTAATGCAAAACTTGCTGATCAGCCAGGTTAGTTCCAATTGATGTGTACAATAAATTTAAAAACTTTCCTTACAGTAATTAAGGTCCTGAATCTTGAATTTGTTAGTGGTATGAAGTTGAAGCTTAGCAAAGTCAATGGTGGAACTCTTTCCTCTTCTACTGTTATTGAGCAAATAAGCATTGGAAATGGATATTATACCAGAAAAGGGAGCTATTTAGCTTATCAACCAAGGTATTCAGATTATCATAGTTCTGGCTTAGCTGGAATATTTCTGAATCTGGAGAAGCTCTTCCCGTGCATAGCTCGTAGTTCAGTTATCCCTGTCTGTGGCAGGTTTACCTATGAGGAGGATGGATTCCTTCAGGGTAAATCGGTTCTCCAGACAAGTGATTTAGGAAATCATATAAAGGTATTTGGAAGCTCAATAGCCACTTATGGAATGGCTATTTCTGGTTGTCGTGTTCTGAATGGCAAAAATGGTTGTCTTCCATTGTGGTTTCAAACAAGGATTACCTGCCTCCTTCCTCGTTCCTGCAAATGAACAACTTGACTCTGCAGGTGAATTGATCCCTTGGACTTAACTTTTGTAGTAGTTATAGTTTTTAGAACTAGCTTACAGGATTTTTTTTTGATTTTATTTTCATTTTTATTTCAATTTTTTGTCAATAGAAGGTAGTTTTGATCAATAAAAACAATGAAAAATTTTGTTAAAAACTTTTTGCATAGTGAAAGGCCTGAATGTTCTTCAATGCTTAAAACTCTATTAGTGTACTAAAGTTGCTCAAAAAGTTGGCGAGAACATTATTGTCAGACAGTTTATACAAGTACAGAAATGTTAACCACACTGTGTGCAACCCACAATAGCCTTTTACAAATAGTTGAGTATAAAAGAAATTGTCACTTCTCCATTTATGGATAGTGCTCTTACAAACTGAGTTGGCTACTGTGTAGCGGGTTTGTTTCGTGAGGGTAAACTTTCGTTTTCCATCCTCAAAATGACTTTCGTGAGGTTAAACATTTGTTCTGAAGACGTTAATAAGCTACCATGCCCATTAAAAACTGGAATTTCGTTTGGTTAATTATTCGTTCTCTCATCTTGAAGAACAAAAAGAACGAAAGTTTAGCCTCACGAAACCTATACGGTAATTTTTGGAAGGGTCCATCATTATGGACCCTGTAAATTATTAAACTATTAATAACTGTCATGATTTATGTACCCAGTAACTGTCATATGTCATAGACTCCACTTTGTTTAGACAGGAGTGCAACAGATCATATTCTGTTCAGTTATAAAATCTGAATACTGGTATGTAAGTTAACAGGGGTCAGGATAGTTAATGTAACAGTACAATAATGCTATATTTTAAGCAATCATACTAATGCTAATTTTTTACTCAAAAGCACACAATCGTAAATGCATCAAAAAATAACAAATGATATGACAATTATGATAGCTCATACAGTTCCTCAACCTCCTGAACTGGAGGCTTTGGTAGTTTTCCTCGAGACTTTTGAGTAGGAGGAGCATTAGAAGGCATGCTTTGATGTACCCTTCTATCTACTCCTCCTACTGTCTTGTTCTCATACTGATGACTTTCTATATTTTTAGTTTTTTGCAGTGTGAGAGGTTCCAAGTCAGCTGACCTCCGAGAACGCTTCTGTCTCACAATAAAACAAACCATGACCACAATCCTATATCATACATTATAAAGAGCATTAGGACATTCACATTCATTTCAACGTACATTGCAGTAACGCAAATAATAGCTACTCCAATCATTGTCCCTCCTACACCGAGTATGGCTCTCTCTCTTGAACTTAGTCCAGGGTCTGCGAAGTAGAGGGTTGGAGTAACGACATGGGTGCCTGTGAGATTTGATGTACTAATGCTCGTAAAAACAGGCAGATCACTTATTAAGCTGCTGTGCATCTCATTACCTTGACAACGGACGCCAGCAACAACAGCACTGGGGAACTTGTTCCTTGCTTGCGTTAAAGAATACAATGTTGATGTGCAATCACCCAGTTCATCTTCAAGTCCATCGCAGCGAAAATTTGAGTACCATATTGGCCTGTTTGGTTTACCGTATTCAGAATTAAGCAAAGGCTCTGCATCTATATAGAAAGAAAAAATAACTTAAACAAGTTATTGTTGACAGTTTTGCTTTCCTTTGATAAACTGTAAACTTGAAACAGATAGCATAACGTGCTATTTAAAAAACATCATTTGTTTGCTTTGTGGGTGTAAAGACAGGGGTAACCTTATTTTAAAGTTATAATAACCCTGAGAGCTGAGTTCTCCATAAAAACTCAATAAAATACCAAAGCTAACTCCAAAGAATGTTACAACACATGATAGAATCATCCTAATGGTCAATACCTTCTGTTTCATATCCAAGTTGATCACACACGACCTTTGCATCATCAGTATCCCATCCATCCTGTTGTATTAATCCCCAAATGCTACTGAAGCATATCTCAACCGTCCCTTCATGAGAGCTGCTGCCTCCACTTAAACGAATGTTCCCATTAGTACAACCTGCAGCATAAACAATAAAAATAACTATTTTTCTATTGTCCTGTTTGTTATTCTCTTGATTGTTAGCATTTTCACATTACATGTTGTTTGTATAACACTATACAAACAGGTTTCTATAACAATTTGTTGAATTTGGCAAGTGGTTCACTTCGATATTGTTTACTTTGTGTACACAAATAAACTTATTTTCTACTCACCGTCCCAACAAGATATACCAACTGTCCTGCTCCTTAAACAAGAGCTGGCACTAAAATAGCCTGCTTTAGAACAATCAGAAAATTTCTTTTCAGATCCATCACAATGTACATTAGTAAACACTATAGGAACATCTCCATCTGAGAATGCAGAGTTTGTTGTTACTGTCCCTCCTACAAACTATAATTATTATTATTTACTTGCTACACTTGCTTACCACTATTGTATCCTAGATCTCTGCACACTATTACTGCATCAATAAAGTCAAAGGAACTATAACAAACTGATCCCCATACTCCGTTAGAGCAAACTTCAAGTCGACCTTCATTTAAAAATGTCCCATTGACAAGATGGATATCGCCTTCATTACAACCAACAGGCTCTATATTGTAATTAAAAACAAACTTT